TTTTTTTTTTTTTTTTTTTTTTTTTTGGTGGCACTGCAGATTGAACTTGGGATCTTGCACTTGCCAGGCAGGCACTGATGCCTTTGAGCTATCTCCCTGACCTGAAAAATGTGATCTTGGATTAGTTCCTTCAACTTGTTATGCCTGTTTTCTCACCTGTAAGACAGGATTTTCTTTCTTTCTTTTTCTTTTTGCATTGGGAATCAAACTCAAGACCTTGTGCCTACCAGGCAGGCGCTGTGCCTCTGAGCTTTATCCCCAGCCCTCTCATCTGTAAAACAGGGCTAACAGTCCCTCTGAATGGGTTGCTTTGTGTATAAAGATCATCCATACAGGGCACTTAACACAAGGAAAGGCAACTAAAATGCTCAGCACAAATTATTACATGTCTTTTCATGCCTCATATGAGGACTGGCACAGGGACGCTAACCCAGGGCGACCTCCTCGTTACCTCCTGCGTCGCCGGCACGGACCAGTGCGCATCTGCAAGTGCAAGGCTGGGGTTAACTTCACCTACTTCTCTGCTATGAAATGAGTTTCCCCAGGTCAGGGGCAGCGCTGCCTGCTTCTGGACACGGCTGTCTGTGTGCAGGGGTGTTTTTACACGCTATGTATATGCACACTGCATGAGTACTGGTTTCACCTAAGTAACTGTTCTTCCGCATCCTGCAATTCAGGCACTTTCTGTCCTTCTGAGATAACTAACATCAGCTTTCCTTGGCCATCCCGCTCAGCTTTGGGACTCTCTGCTCCCCCTGTCAACTAGACATAGAGACTATTTTCAGTAATTGTGTACAGTGTGGTGACACCTCACCTAGACTGAGAGCAGCTGCGGCGCCCGCCCTGATCTCACCTCAGGGTCACCAAACGGTAACCAAGGTGAACCAGCTGTCACAGATTTCTAACAATCTGCACGTTGTGAAGAGGAAAGTGGTCTCCAAACCAAACTGACCCAACATGTGCAGTCACAACGTGCCTTCCACAGGATTTGGTGGGGCAGGGCAGAGAACTGATAAGATACTTGGTAAATGTTAGTTGTATGGATGCTAATTCTGGCTTTTAGTTTTCTGAGACCGGGGCTCAGACTGTAGTACAGGAACTCACTAGCCACGGTTCTCCTCCTGCCTCTGCCTTCCTGGTGATGGGATGACAGGCGTGTGCCACTAAGTCCAACTTTTTACATGCTTGGTCCTAGCTTACTACAGTTATATAGCACAACCATCTTTTTTTTTTTTTTTTTTTGAAACAGGGTCTTGCTAACAGTTCAGGCTGGGCTTGAGCTCGCTTATTTATTTATTTATTTATTTATTTATTTATTTATTTATTTTGTGGAACCAGGGATTGAACTCAGGCCCTTGTGCTTGCCAGGGAAGCACTTATTCCACTGAGCCATCTCCCCAGCCCTTGAGCTCACTTTTTAAATGATTGAAAAAATTTAATTAAAAAAAAGGGAGGGCTGTGGATAGCTCTGCAGTCTAAGCACCAGCCTGGGCAAGCGCAAAGACCTGGGTTTGATTCCTGGTACCACAAGCCGTGCTGGCCCTACCCTAAGCCAGCCACCAAGACTGGGCATGGTTGCACCCCCTCAGGGCTAGCTAGGCTAGCCCAGGGCTATGCCTGGCTATTTTGGATGTGAAGAAACTTAGGTTAAGTGTCTGTCCAAAGGACAAAAGACACAAGGACAGAACTTTTTTTTGGTGCTACCAGGGATTGAACTCAGGACCTTATGCTTGCCAGGCAAGCACTTATTCCACTGAGCTATCTCCCCAGGCCACAAAGATAGAACTTAAACACCTGCCCGCCTGACTCTGCAGTACCAGGTCGTACCCACCGTGCTACATGATCTCATGTCACGTATATCTGCCTGCTGTGTGTGATGTGTCATTCAGCTGACCGTGGTATAAACATGCGTCTGTCCTGAGCGGGCAGTGCTGTGGTGCTGGCTCCTTCCTAGACAGAGCATGTCGACGGCATGGGAGGTAGTTATACTTTGTGGCAAAGAAGCACCCAGTTCTGGGGTTTCCACCTGACCTCAGTGCTCTGTACCTCCTGCCTACCACATGGGAGTGCTGCTACACGTACGCTCTTAGAGCCACTCTGTTCCCTCTCAGGAAAGTATTCTGTCAAACTGGGGTACCTAAACATTCCCAAAGGACAACATGAGAACTTTCTTTGGCATACAGGAACCAGTGGCTTGCAGGAATCTGTGCTCGCTGGAGAAATCCAGGCTCCTCAGCCCCTAGGGTTGGCATTATCCCTTTCTAGACACTGAAGAGTAAGTCTGCTAAGGCTGAGGAAGCACACACACACACAAACCGAACTCAGGGACTCCGACTTTTAGGAGTCAATATATTAAATATCCTCTCTTCGTCCCTAAGAATTCCCCAGCACTAAGTGGTAAACATGGATACAACAAAGGTTAATCTGCGACTCAGACAGGCACCCCCTGACTATCATAGGGCGGGATGTTCACACTGTCCCCAGATTCATATGCCAAAGTCCTGGCCCTCAACATGTGGTATGTGAAAAAGAGCCCCTGGGATAATTAGATCCTGAGGGGGACTCTCATGACACAATTAGTGATCCTGTAAGAGGAGACAGAAGTCAGAGAGGGACATAGCAAGGTGACCTCCACAAGGCAGGAAGACGGCCTTCCCAAGGCCCCATCCATGCTGCACGCTAGCCTTGGACTTCAGCCTCCAGAGCTGTGAGAAACTAGTTTCTGTTGATTAAGCCAACTACACTATATATTTCGTTACGGCAGCCTGAGCTAAGAAAGAAGAAATGAAGGTAAAACGCGGTTGGTAAGCTGGGCTCTCACTCAACAGGACTGGTCCCATCATGAGAGATAAGGACATGGGAGACACCAGAGACACACACACATAGAAGACCACGGGCCCACACAGCGAGAAGCTGCCATCCGTGGGCCGCAGGGGGAGGCCCTGGGAGACAGCGAACCTACTGACACCACGTTCTGAGACCTGTAGCCTCCAGAAGAGCAGGATGGCCCCAACTCAGTGTTTGGCTATTCACTACACAGTTAAAACTTCAGGTCAGTAGTGCAAAATGAAAATGACATCTGGAAAACATCAACCACCAGGTACCCAAGAGAAGAAATCACACTTCTGTTTTCTCCCAATATTCCATAAACTCCCAAGTGAGAAAAACCTCCTCCTCCTCCACCAGTATCTCTGTTACAGTTTAAAAACCAACTGTTCACAAAGCCCAGGGGACCGAGGGCTTGATCCCCGACGCAGCACTGCTCAGGGTGGGCCTGGAGAGGCGGCCGGGTCCCGAGGCTGACTCGGGGGTGCGTTCACCCGGCGTGCGCTCGGCCTGGAATGGCTGTCAGGAGGCGAGGCCGCGCTGGGGAAGGAGGTCGCTGGGGCTGCCTAGCAGGGAAGCCCTGTTCTCGCCTGGCCTCCTCTCTGCTTCTCGGCTGCCACGAGGTGGGCAGCTTTCCCACTGGCCACGGCCTTCCGCCATGACACTGCCCTCTCCACAGGCCTAAAACCAATGGAGCCAGCTGGCCAGGGACTGACACCTCTGAGACCAAGAGCCAAAACTTTTCCGCCTTAGGCCGCCCATGTCAGTGTGTCCCAGCAGCAGCAGGCTACCAGGCCCCAAAGAATGTGGCGACCTTACCCAGGCCTTCCAGCTCCTGAACCACTTCCTTCCACACAGGCTCGATGTGGATGCAGCTGAAGCACCAGTCTGAGGTGACCTTGATGAGGTAGGGCTTCCTGAAGCTGTCCGGGACCACCTCGTTCACGTAGTGTGAGAAGTGCAGCAAGTACTTTTCATCGATCGAGTCCCGTCGCTCCGAATTGAAGGGAAAGTGAAAAAAAGATTCATCAAAATAGAAGTTTTCATGGAAGTGGCGGAAGCGATATTCTCGCTGCTGCTGCTGGTAGCCCTGGTTCTCACCAGCATCACCATAGTGATCGTAATTGGATCTCTTCTCTTCATTAGAAAGAATCTACAAGGAGGAAAAAGTAGAAGAAATCTAAAAAACAAGAAAAAAGTTTCATTCAAAGGAATTTGCTGTCAGCAACTTGAAAGACATACAAAGAAAATAAATGTAAAGATCATGACGTGATTAGGTCTCTCTGACATTGGGATTTTTTTTTTTTTTTTGCGGAACCAGGGATTGAACTCAGGCCTTTGCGCTTAGCCAGGGAGGCACTTATTCCACTGAGCCATCTCCCCGGCCCCTGACATTGGGATTGAACGCAGGGCCTTTGCACTGAGCTACATCCCAATCCCTTTTAAAATTTTTATTTATGTATTCATTTTTTGGTACTGGGAATTGAACTCAGTACCTTGGGCTTGGCAGGCAAGTACTTATGCTGTTGAGCTATCTCTCCAACCCTATTTTTTACTTTGAGACAGTCACTAAATTACCTAGGCTAGGCTTAAACTTACAGTTCTCTTGCCTCAGTTTCCCAGAGTGTAGAGATTATAGGCATGTGTCAATATTCCCAGCTGTGATTATAAGCTCTAAATGTATAATCATACACTTCACTTTCCCAGTGGCTCAGTATGTTGGGAAATCCTTAACAGAAACATTAAAGAAAATTCATGGCCCAGGAGATGGCTCAGTAAAATATGGAAGGGCAAGGGTCTGAGTTCAATCCCTGGTTCTGGGGGAAAAAAAAAAATCATGATCAAAATACTTTAGTTCTTTCACAGTTCATTAGCTGGTCCCATTCACACTGGCATTAAAGATTTGGAACTATCTCAGTAAACACTTCAGTACAGCAAATAAAACAGCACATATCACTGGCAGGCTCATATACAAGAAAAGTGAATTAGGCATACCATCCGCGTTGGAATCATTTAGACAAGGCTTGGAGACATGTGAATACCAAAAAGCAGCCACAGACCCGAGTCCAGTTTCTTGTGTGTTAGCTGACTCTGCTTTACTTAAAAATAACTTTGAAGTACAAGGTTCAAGAATCCATTTAGGAAGATGAATTACTCTTTGGCCTAAGCAATGTCTGGTGAAGAGTCTCTCCTAACAGAACGGGAAGGCAGAGAATCCTTCATCATGCATATTCCAGACCAAGTAACTTAAGCTGACATGTTGAAAAATTATGAAAAAGTTGTGTTTCAGTGTATGGGTAACTTTGTGTCATTTTAAAAAATAAAGGCAAACTGGCATGTGATTCTTGAACAGAAGTTTCTAAAAAGGTAATATAGAATGTATTCCAAGTAATCTTACAATTCTAATTAGTCTCTGAGACAGTCCAGCCAGGCATGGCGGCACTTAATTGTAATCCCAACTACTCAGAAGGCCGAGGTAGGAGGACTCCAAATTCAAGGTTCACCTAGCAAATTAGTGAAGATTTGTCTCAAAATAAAAAATAAAAAGGGCTGGGGATGGAGCTCAGTGATCCAGCAGCCCTGGATTCAATCCCTAGTGGAGGCGGGAAGGCAGATTTCTCAAGAGCTCAAACATTCAGGCACTCGTTCCAACACACTCAATGTGGCCAGCTTGTGTTGTCTCTGCTGTCATTTGGAAACTGGGTCAGGGCCTAGGAACATGCACTTCCTGGGAGGATGTTACCGAGCTGATCACTGGAGGCACCTTTTATTAAGAGCTAAAGGATGCACCCCAAGGTTTGCCCCGATACCTCGTAAGCCTTGCTGATCTGGATGAACTTGTCTGCTGCCCCGGGATCTCTGTTTTTGTCTGGATGCCTGAAACACAGATGCGCAGCCAGTGAGAGAGGATTTCACTTTCCACACGTGGTCATTTCATATCTTCATAAACACAGTTCACATCAAAGGCAAATGGGTCACTGTGTTAGGACAGCTGCCTAAAATAAACAGCTGAAGCAACGGATGCCTTCCCAAGACTACAAAAATGAAACCTGGAAACATTTTCCTCCTGGAACCCTCCGACTGGGTACACTTTCAAAGCACCAAAGTGTGGTGAGGTGGATGTGTGTGTGGCTATGCTACACCCCAACACTGTGCACAGGGGCTGAGAGCTCAGTCCCTTGGCTACGAATTGAGGGCTTTTCCCAGATGCCAGCGTTTCCTCCCTACGTTAAATGGACCCGGATAATACAGGCCAGCATGAGAAGCAACTTTTATGGTGCGCAGTGACACTGCTTAGTGACAGCCAGGTGTCAAGCAGTACACTGCTACTGACCTTCAAATCAGAGCACGTCAGTATGCATTACTACTCCATCTGAGACCTCTTAGCTCTAAATAGATAATGGTTTCAAGGCCACATCTGCTTTATTTTTTTTGAGATGGGATCTTGCAAGGCAGTCCAGGCTGGCCTTGAACTCAGTATGGAGCCTAGGCTGGCCTCAATCTCATAGCAATCCTCCTGCCTCGGCCTCCCAAGTGTTGGGATTACACGCAGGTACCATATCAAGGACACATATTTAAGGTGGTAAAAAAAAACAAAACACCTAAATTTCATGCAAATTTTTTTTTTTTTTTTAAATCTGTTTGAGGCAGAGTTTCTCTATGTAGTTCAGTCTGGCCTTGAAATCCCAATGATCCTCCTGCCTCAGTCTCCTGAGTGCTGGGATTACAGGCATGGGCCACCACACCCAGCTTCATGCAAAGTTATTTAATTAACAGTAGAAAGAATCTTCAACATTGACTGTCATCTATAGCTGCCAATTGACTGTCTTGAGGTCACAGATTATTCTGTAATCTTGTTATGTTTATTCTTCAGTTTTCAGGATTTTAAAATCTGAGAAAGGACTCAATTTAGCCCGGTAAGCTCTAAGTCAGTGTTTTGCATAAATGGATTTTTTTTTCCAACATTCACTTTGTTAAAAGATTCTGTATGACAGAGTTGGTTCTTTATTTATTTTTTAAAATTTATTTATTTATTTGTGGGGGGGCAGCTCAGCCCACCAGGGGGCGGGGCTGGCTGGCATGTGGTGCTGGAGGATTGAACCGCGGTCCCTGTGCTTTGCTAAGCTTGTTCTAAGTAGGTGCTTTAGACCACTGAGCCATCTCACCAGCCCCCAGAGTTTGTTCTTTATGTAATCAGTTTGGGTTACGTCACTGGCGTTCTCTTAGTATAGGTCTTGGAAACAAAAATAACTCTCAGGGAAGCAAATGACCCTTAAAAACACCAAACTACATTGAATCAGGGGAAAATATTATAATTTGACAGACTTATTCTAGAAGGAATATGTTTGAATGAACTCTAGCACATATTCCAATAGCTCTAAAACCAAGGAAACCTCAAATGGTTGACTGCTACATTGGCCCTGTTTCCTTCACCGTTTAATTCTTCCTCTGAATGTCAGCGGGGAGAAATCCTGGCCTGGCATAAGGAAAACAGTGTGGTTTGAGGAAACAAGATGGTGATTCCAAAGTGTGTTTTTGGATGACAAAAAATAAAAAAGTGCTTGCAATATTCAGACTTAAGACTAACGGCTGGGTGGATAAAACAACACAACTGACCAATGATTTAATACGAAGAACTCTGGAGGGAAGAAGGCTGGGAAGGGGCTCTTGAGGACACTGGAGTAGAAAGAACCTCGCAGGCAGCTTGTAGGAAACATGAGCCCTGCGACAGGGGTGGCTAAGGCCTGGGACCAAGGAATGCACAAGACAGTCTGGCTCATAAGGAACACTCTCCTGAGTGTGGGAAAATGCTGCAAGCTAGAGGACATTTAGAGCAGGGGATGTTCGGCCCGAGGAAAGTGTCACCTCACGGTATTTTTAGTGGCTATGAAATTATTTCACAAACAGCAATCTTTACATTTCAAAGTGAAAAGAACATTGTGTACGGTAATCTACTGCCTGCGAGTGACCTCTAAAGGACTAAAAACGAGACAGAAGAGGAATTACAGTAAAGGATATGCAACTTACTGTTTGGTTCACTGAACCACGTAATATCAATCGCTTTTCTTGGGGTAGGAGTTAGCTTGCTAATAAGGATGACAAATGAAAAGTGTCTAAGATAAAACTGAATTATAAGGAGAGAAGTAGATTTCTTCAGAGAAAAAAGTGATTTCAAACGGTTTCACCAAGCATGGGAAAATTCTTATAACGTCTAAGAAACACTCAGTAAAATGCAATCCAACAATGAACCACTTATCCCTACCATGGCTCATTCTGAAAAGTCACACTGGGAAGCACCATTATTTTTCAATGTATATAAAACCATCACAAAATGAAATGGAAACCAGCCCAAGTGATAAAATAGTTTCACAGTTAAAACAGAGAACAACAGTACAGCAGAAATGGACAACGTAAAATAAAATTTTAGGGCTGGTGAGATGGCTCAGTGGTCTAAGGCACCTACTTAGAACAAGCTGAGCTAAGCAAAACACAGAGACCGCGGTTCAA